AATATATTTTAAAATTATATAAAGATCAATATTTCGTAATGGAGTTTTGTGCTACATCATATTAATGACTACATAATGTTAAAAAAGATATGTTAATATTGTTGAATAATATACATGAGTTATAAAATAAAAATTTAAAAAGTGTAAGTTATCGAAAATAATAAATGTTATCTCTCGACTTTCATGAGTGACGATTGAAAAATTTATAATTATCAAGTTCTTTACTTCTATGTCATTCAAGTAGGAATATATTTATGACCAGTGCCAATTAAAAAAAGGCAATAATTGAGTTTAGTTTATATAGATGTCAAGCCATCACAATATACATGTCAGAAAAGTCCTAAAATTTTCTCGATTTCTGCTATGTGTTTTTGGTCGATTAGAAACCAAAAAGAAAATTAAAGAAGATTGCTATATTATAAATTAAATATTGCTCCAATCAAATTCATGTGTATCAAATCAGTGTAGCCCCATCTCAACTCAAACTTACTGCGCAACAAATCGTACTAAAATTTACAATTCATGAACAAACATACTTCTTTATAAGGAGAGAAATATATGCTCCGGTAATATTTTATAGAAATTTAAAAATTAGAAGGAATTGTGCTATTTAAGGAAAGAGATTTAATTCACCGTCTGCATAGTGATGTATCTATAGTTAAAATCCAAGAGTACAATAAAAATTATTAAAAAAAGACATAAGAAGCTTGCCCCAGAAAGGGTTGAATGTAAACAATTCGTGGGCGATACAGATTGTATCCCATTATGATATTTACACGTACGAATTGTAATTTACTTAACACGGGAAACAAAGTTCTTGTTGGTCAACCTCATAATTTGGCACTTAGCAAAAATTATTTTTCTCCATTAATTAGAGATTCTGGAAAAATAGGATAGCAATATCTAAAAAATAAACATAAAAATAACTAATTGGAGAATCGTACCTAAAGCAACGACGCCGCAACACAAATATATAGAGAAATTAACTACAATCATACATATAAAATCCCGAAATAAAATTAAAAAATATATAGAACGGAAACCTAAATAAATCCAGAATCATACCTGCGAATTACAATTCTTTTTTGGTACCAATAAACGAAACAAAACTGCAAAATAGATAGGAAATCAAGTAAATTTAACTTGCAAGTCCTTATCTTGAACTTAGGTGCGTACGCTACTTTAGTATTGCGCAACAATTGAAAGACCTGCCATTTACAACCACAAACAAGCAAAAGATATAAATCAATTAGGAGAAAAAATCGCATAAGTTGGATAACAAAAATCTATTAATACTTAAAAGTATTGATTAATGAATGAATGAGTTACGCAGAAATATATTTTCTTTATATAGCTTGTTTATACTATGTTAGACAGTTATTAGGAGTAAGAGATTTCTTGCGTAAAAATTAATCAATTTCCTTGTATAACCTTAGAAGTATTAATTAATTAATAAATACAAGGAAATAATAATAAAGCTTTTATAAATCAAAGATACAATGTATGTAGTATTAATTAATTAATAAATACAAGGAAATAATAATAAAGCTTTTATAAATCAAAGATACAATGTATGTACAAATTAGGACTCGTACATAGTTAAAATAGGAAAATGTTTAGTAGCATATATTTTAGTCGATTTCAAACTCTTAAATATATGTAATAATTAAATTACTATTTTGCCTAGTGTGAAATTTATTTTTGAAGGGTAAAAAAGGCGAACGACAATTTGCTAAGGGCCTTCGTGCTTTTAATATAACTATTTTCTTTGTACGTGCGTTGCACGTGTACCTCGCGCTCATCAATAAATAATTAAATAAATAAATAAATAAATAAAGCATAAATTTTTTAAAAAAATAATAGTTTACACTAAAACAAATGCAATACTTTTTAATACTAAAAATTAATATTATTACATTAGCATAGTAATTGTATTCAATATATCCAAGATATACAAACACGATAAAAACATATAAAAAAAGAAGAATTCTCATATTTATCATGATTGAAGAGAAATCTAATGAGTGTTAACGGTCAAGATCAAAAAAAAAAAATCTCTAACGACAATTCAGAAAATATAGGGAACTGTCATTTGTTGTAACAAATGCAAAATGAGAAACTATTATTTCATCCTTATTGCTTCAAGTTTGAATTATTTTAATTAACTCTTAATACTATATTATCACCGATTATATTTTATTTTCTGATTGCTTTTACCACGAATGCTCTTTTTATTGAAACAGGTTTATGTATCCTAAGAGTTTTTTCACTTGAAATTTTTTTAACTAATATGATGAATTTAGAAAGGAATTGGATAGAATTATTTTGTTAATTAGTTAATTCAAATTATTTGCTCTCAACATTAACGAAAATAATTTATTTTTATTGATTCAAATTCTTAATATTAGTTCACCCAAATTTTAAATATTTAACTGTAATTATAATTTTATTTACTATAAATTATGTGTTAAGGGATAAAAAATCGATCTGATAGTTTACTTTTGGATATTTGTGTTTGCAGAATTATTAGTGTTACCAAATACTTTTCTAGTCTCTCCCTCTCTCTCTTTTATATTTTTAAATAGTATCTTAGTATTTTAATTTAATTATTAAGCATAATTTTTAAACATATTATACAAAAAAATTACTAAATAGAAAAATACTGTTTGGAGAGAAAAGTAGTTCAAATATAATAGTATGAACTATTATAGTTCATATATAATAGCATGAAAGGAATTATAATTATGTTACATTATTCAAATAAAATAAATTTATGTAAGATAATTAAAATATTAATTGGCTTTCAAGTCCAAGATAAAGATTTAACAAAAATAATTAGGTGCAAGAAAGTGATATCTTTTAAAGTATTAACCTTTATTTTACATGTATATTTGCACATTTTATTCATGATAAAGCTTTCTTGGTATTATTTCAAAATGTTGTAGTTGATATTTTTACAACTTATACGAAAACTAAACGTGGGAAAGTTATATTACTTATTTAAAATCCTAAATGCCTTTTAAATATTAGGCATAACGTTGCATGATCTATTAATTACTTTAATTTCATTAAAACACACGTTAGTTTACTCTTTTTTCTATAGAATCTACATCCACTAAAAGTAATATGAAAATAATTATAGTTACGTTATATATGGAGTTTAAACAAGGAAAAAAATATATGTATGGTAAAATACTAATTAATATTAAAGTCCTAAAATTTAGGACTACGTACCTATCACAAATAAGGAAAGATTTAATAATCAAAATCTTAGCCAATTTTAGAGTTCTAAATATTAGGGAATTAATTAAATGACTATTTTATCCAATGTGAAATCTATTTTTAAAGGGTAAAAAAGGCGAACGATATTTCGCTAAGGACCTTCGTGCTTTTAATATAGTATAGATATAGATATACACACACTCATATATATAATAAAAATCAAGTCTTATTTAGTAGACTATTATATCATTTGTTCCCGTTATAATTTGCAAATGACTTATATCGTTTTAGATCTTTGTTTATCCTTTTATTTTAATAAAATAATAGTTTCTACCTTTATATATCCAGAGATCTAGAACTTATACTTAATAATTTTTTTAGTGTTTCATTCAGGAGATAATCAAGGGTGAAGTCTTTCATAATTTTTAGCATTATTTTTATTTTAATAGTACATATAATTAGTAATTAAATATTCTTTATGTGTTATTTTTAACATAATATTTTGTGTTTTAATTTTAACTATTATTAAAATGACCTGTATTAGAAATATTTATAAGAAATATTCTTGAAGAATAAATATATAAGAATAACACATTAATAATTCTTGAAAACGTTAAGTTTATTAATTTAAAACTTTAGCTTAACATAATTTGCCATTATTGCTATTATATTTTCGGAAAAAAGATAATTCTAATATAGATCAAAGTTCCATAACAAAATTGAATTGAAGAATGCCGAGTCAAAATGGATTTAAAATAATTAAAATTTTAGTTACAGTAAATGAGATTCCATATATAATTCTTAACCTATTTGATAATGATATCCCATAAATTCTCTTTTAGATTGCCATGTAAAAATTTAATTATAGTAAATGAGATTCATATATTATTCATAATTTGGATTTCTTATTTGACAATCTCTCTACAAACTCTCCGTAAGCTTATCAAATGACTTGTTAATAACTTGCCACTTGGCTTAATTAAAATGAAAAGTTTATTCCTTTATTATATATTATGTGTGTGTAAATTGTAGTATGTTACGTTACTAGTTATTATTTTTATCAGGTTATCAATTAATGATTATCATATAAATTTACCATTTATTTATTATATAAGTGTTATAATTATTTGTTGCACTATGAGTGCTTATTGTATACATTTTCTTTGTACTAAATTAAGTTCACATTTTGATTTTCCATCTGTCTAAATTATGCTAATTTGACTTAAGAAAGAAAACTGTCAAAGATATTACATATTCCTTAATTTTTCCATTTTTTGGATGGTCGGCTAAGAACGAAGTTTTACGACTAGACCATAATATTTGCCACTAGTATCCTATTAATTACCGACTTTAACCCAAATAGGATTAGAGTAATAATTAAATTCGAATCCTAAAATGTTTTGCTTCTACCTAATCCGAGTAAATAATTGACTGACAACTAAACCCAAGTTTGAACCGTGGTTTAAGATAGTTTGTCAACTAAAGGTAACCCTAGTTAAAGAACTCTTATAAATATCAGCAGCTATAAACCCTTGAGCTTTTCCCATGCCTATTGTTCCGTTTCGTTACTTTTGAGAAAAGCAAAAGACTACAGCTTCGCTTTGTTTTTGCTTCCTTTGTTCTTTGAAGAAGACAAATCCCCGCAACGTTCGCACTACATGGTAAATCCTTTGTTTATTCTTTTTTATTTTAATTTAAGTTCATGTTTTTATCGATAAATCCAAGGTTTAAACATTTAATTTTGTCAAATTTAAATGTTTTCTTATAATTTTTCCGAAAACATGGCCTCGAATCTATTTGAGTACCTTGGAATTTAGTTGTTTTCGCCACAACCAGAATTCTAAATAAAAAATTCACGTGCTCGACTTCGTCAATTGACTGAATAAATTTGATGAATTATGGGTGAAGGTGCAGAGCGTGAGCGTGGATCCATCGGATCGGGACTCGGAGCCGTTTGTGGAGGTGGACCCCACAGGGAGATACGGGCGATACGACGAGCTTTTAGGCTATGGAGCGGTGAAAAAAGTGTACAGAGCGTTTGATCAAGAAGAAGGGATTGAAGTAGCATGGAACCAAGTGAAATTACGGAATTTCATGGACGATCAGCCGGTGATTGACCGGTTATACTCGGAAGTCCGGCTATTGAAAACCTTAAAGCATAAGAACATAATCGCATTGTACTCTGTTTGGAGGGACCAAAATCGCAACACTTTGAATTTCATAACGGAGGTTTGTACGTCAGGGAATTTGAGGGAGTATAGGAATAAACACAAACATGTTTCGATGAAGGCGGTAAAGAAGTGGTCCAAGCAGATTCTCAAGGGGTTGGATTATTTGCATACACATGAACCTTGCGTTATTCACAGGGATCTCAATTGCAGTAACGTCTTCATTAATGGCAATGTTGGACAGGTAATATTATTAATTACTACTTTTTTTCTTTGTTTGGTAAAAATATGTTACTACAAAATGGTTATTTATAAGTATCTTTTTTTCCTTCTTTTGGACAAGTTTATCTAATTATCCTTCTCTTCATTGAGAAATAGTTTTATTAGTTGTTCACTGTCATGGCTATTTTGTTCAATCACAAAAAGGATAATGTTTATTGTACATTCAAAAATTAGCTGTAGGACGCGGAGCATTCATTCATTTCACTGATTTGATTGGAAAGAAAAGAAAAGATTTGATTTATATTTGAATCATATTAGTCTTCTTGTTATCCATGTTAGTTCTTCAGTTTAGCTTGTTTTCTGTATCTTTTTATGAGCTTCAAAATTTGTAAGGAATTACGAGTAATATTATTCTTTATTCCTATTGTGCTGACATAGGTTAAGATTGGTGATTTGGGCTTTGCAACAATAGTAGGGAAGAGTCATTCAGCACATTCAGTTCTTGGGACCCCGGAATTCATGGCACCAGAGCTATACGACGAGGATTATACAGAGTTGATCGATATCTACTCGTTTGGAATGTGTGTTTTGGAGATGGTGACTCTGGATTTACCCTACAGTGAGTGTGACAATGTAGTCAAGATATACAAGAAGGTAATATCTGGAGTGAGGCCTAAGGCAATGGACAAGGTTAAAGACCCTGAGGTCAAGGGCTTCATTGAGAAGTGTCTTGCTCAACCCAGGGTTAGGCCTTCTGCTTCTGAACTCCTTGAAGACCCCTTCTTCGAAGGTATTGATGATGACGAAAACGACAACGACAACGAAGAATATACTGCTATTAACAAATATTGGCCTGCCTAGGTTAGCCATTGTTATTATATGATATTAGTTAGTACAATATTAGTTTTTGGTGTGGTGTTTTGGTGATACTTGTGGCAGGTTTGGATCTGTTTTGTGGATAGGATTTTTGCTTTTTCTTCCAAAAAGAAGAAAGAAAATGGTTTGCTTTTTTTGAAACTTCTGCAAAAGAAAGACAATAGAAAGAGTGGATTTTGGTGAAGTAATTTGTACATAAACTTGATATCAAATACTACTGGAAGAGTGGAAGTTTGTTTTGAATTCTTTGATAAGTCAATTCACTGTTTTCATCTTTATGCTACTTAATAATCCATCTTGAGAAACCTTAAAGGATAATGAAATAATAGATCCTTCAATTTTACGGTATTTACTTACAATTTCTTAATGTGTCTGTATGGAATGAATTAACCTTTCATTCCTCGGAAGTGGCAGCAGAATTAAGCCTTCAGATTAGGGGTGTTCACAAACCGATCCAAATCGAAAACCGAACCAAACCGATTAAGTAAACCGATATTTTTCTTGATTTGGATTGGTTTTGGTTTTAAATTTTAAAAATCGATAATATTTGGTTTGGTTTTGGTTCTATTTTAAAAAACCGAAAAATGAACCGAACCAAAACAAAATTTAATAATTATTTATATACAATATAATATCTTTTTTTAAATAATTTTAAATATTTTATGCATTTTAATTGTTATTTTGAATTTTGGTTTATCCTTTATATCTTAAAAGATTGCCTAAGCGCAAAACAATAGGACTCGATCAATTTTCTTTTCATTAAGAGACTCTAATTCTCTAACCCTCCGCACATACTTTTGCCTAACAGAAGAGTTCAAAAAAACCACCACAAACCACCACAAGAGTAAAACAAATTCAAATTGCAAGACAACAATGGCTAAAGCTTGGGAAAGCAAACTTTTAGTTTGTTTTTTGTTTATTCTTTTCATATAAACAGGTAATTAAACTTTCAATTTTGAAAGAAATATATGAAAAAACATAAATTTAGCAAATTATTTTCAGATTATTGTCTAGCGTTGTTTTACTATTATTGATTTATCATTAGCTTACTAAGAACCGAAAATCGAATTAAACCGAACCAAACCAACAACAATCAAACCGATTGTTTGTATTTAATTTGATTTGGTTTTGGTTTTAAAATTTTAAAAACCAATTAAATTGATTTAATTTTGATAACCATGAACACCCCTGCTTCAAATGAGGCAAGTCAAAATTTTCGAATTGGTAAAAGGAGAAGGTCATTTATTGTAAATAAAAAATTAGAGAAAAAGCAAGTCAGAGTAGTTGAACGGGCTATTCTTCTAGTTTCAACTGTGAATGATTCAAATTTACATTAATGAGCTAAGCAAAAAAAGGGCCAAATTAGCCTTTAGCATAATGTAAGGGATTTATTTCTTTTCGTAAAACATTGGGTAGAAGCAAAGTAAGTGGTTGACATACTCAAGTTGTCGCCACACTGTCTTATTCGTCGTTTGTTGGACTAAACAATACCATTAAAAAGATTTAAAACAAATAAAGAAAAGGGCAATAATATTTGTTGGCGTGTGTTGAGTTTCCATTTCTTACTTTAAAAAACCGAATCTAAACCGAATAAAAGAATAATAAACAGAGAAAAAAGGTATTCTCATTCGCACTATTAAGAAAAAGAAAAGGTTGAAACGGAAAATAGGAAAAAGGTCTTCAAACACAGCTGTTCTTAGACGGCGTAGGGCCATAGGCATATAATTTCTTCACAAGCATAAGGTTGGTTGTAGGGTCCAATAACGGTCTCGTTTCTTATTTTGATTTGAGTTGGGGAATAGCATAGTTGGCACCAATGGTTGTGGTCGTAAGGTGGTATGGATAGAATCATTTTATACTTAATTACTCCTTCCGTTCTTGTTTACATGAACTTTTTTTTGTCCGTTTTAAAAAGAATAATCCCTTTTTAAATTTAAAAATAATTTAGCTTAAATTTTTAATTTTACGTTTAACGAGAAATTTTTATAACCACACAAATAATCTGAACCCCATTCTGATATGTTTAGGACTACAAATTCTAAAAGTTTTTTTTTCCTTAAACTTCGTGCCCAACCAAATAGGTTCACATAAATTAAAACATGAGGACGAGTTTTAGGCTCGAATTACAAGAATAGAAAAAATTCTGGTAGGAAACATTTTCCTTTTTAATGAAGGCTCCAATATTAATATTGAATATGAGATGGAAAAAAAAAAAGGATGACCGAGTTTGAATTTCTTTTTATACTTTCATGAAGGCTGTGTTTAAACAAGTATTATTTATAAAGAATAGGTAGTAGCTTCTTTTGAATATTAAATTTTTTTAATTTAGTTTTGCGGAAATTAGAGAAAAAATTTAAAGCTCTTCTCTCAGACAAATCACACCTATAATTTCCTTTTGATTTTCAAATCTTTGGAAATTTCTCCTTGAGTAAGAGTGTTCGAGTAATTTCACTATTTTCAAGGAATTCACTATTGATCAGGCCTAATTATGCCTTATAAAAAGGATAAAGCAATCGTTGCAAATATAATCCGGTTTACAAGTTCGGAGTCGAATCCCACAAAGAACTAAGGCTTAGCTACAGTTGTTCACTATCACCAAGAATACAAGCTTGAACAATTCCTAACTTATAGATATTAAGATTTTTGTGTTTAACTAACTAACTAACTAACTAATTAAAATAATAAATTAACACTAAAGATACTACAGGTTGGAGAAAAGATTAAGGAGGTCTAGAGTTATGATTTCCCCAATTATCTGAATCATTCCCGCTATGTCTTCTATAATTTCGCCTAAGTATTCTCTACCGATCATGAGCGCTCTGCGTGTTATAATTCTCTCCCGAGTAACTACGACAATTTACTAGACATACTCTCCCGAGTTACGCTAGCTTTAAGTACAGCTCACTTAGATTGCACCCAAAGTTTCGTTATCCCTAATCCCACCTTTAAACCCTTGGTTATTGATTCCTCACATACGTCGGGAGTGATGTTGTTCAACAACTACCTAAATATGCACTCTCTCTCGAGTAATACATACTAAATAGGCACAACTAATTGAGGGCCCTTCAATCAACCACAAGAATAATATAGTTGAACAAATAGAGAAAATACTACGGCTCAATTATATAAAAACATAACAAGAATTTATCCTACAAAAGGTTCCATCAAAACCCTAGATAACAAATTAGCTATTCATAATAGTATGTAAAACTACAATACTAAAAGTCATAACCAACAATAAAAAATAAGAAGAGGAAGCAAAAACTCGTAGAAGAATTTACCGCCTTGCTCCTATTGTGTCTCTGTCTCCTTAGGTCGAATATCGGTCTCCTTAGCCTTCTCAAGTCTAAAATATGTCAAAAGTATGTCCACCCCTCATCAAAATACCGTTTTTCCATGTATATTTACCAAGTAGGGTTGGGCCCAAATAATTACACCTTCTCCTACGCGAAAAAGGATATATTTTCCGGACAGGACATGCGCGACCATGTTTGGACCGCGCTCAGACCGTGCACATCCACTTTGATTCTGCCTGACGAGCGCGGCCTGAGCGTGGCCGTGCTCTTGACATGCACTTTTCACCCTATTCCGATTGAAATTGGAAAAACGTAAAACATAAAAGTTGTAGCTCTTTGCGTTAGCTGTTCAACCATATATTGTGAAGCCCAAATGGAGTTTGCAGAAAAAAGTTATGTGTATTCTACTACATAGTGCGCAATATGCCTACTTGATTCTTCATTTGTTCTATTATCATCCGTTGACCCCCGAACACGATCCCGGCTTAATTCCTTGAGCTTTTACTCAGGATTCAAAGCTCCAAATCACTTGAATTCATTCTATAACATCTATATAGCTCAGAATCACTCATACAAGGCATAAAACACACAATTAATGTAAAACACTAGCGATTAAAGCTCAAACTCAATTAAAATGCAGTAAATTAGAGTGTAATAAGCGACTAAAATACGTAATTATAGCCTATCATCAACACCCCACACTTAAACCATTACTCGTCCTCGAGCAATAAAACTACACTTATATAGACACGACCTTTTTAAACAATTCTCCTAACTCATCACACAAAGAATATTTAAAATAGACTAAGTACAAAAGCGTAACATCTTCACCTCAAGATTTGACTCATAAGTAACATGCATTATTCACAACTCACCCAATTACTCTAACGTAGAGATCACTGATATTACCTTTCCTTCATGAATCAAGTGCCCTCACACAACAGACGAGAGTTGTTCCACACAATAAAATTTAAGAACATTTAGGAACTCAAGATAGAAAGAATTCACTCACTCTCAGAAATAACATTCATATGCCACAAAAGATGCACCATAGGATTGCCCGTAGTGCACTACTCTACTAATCGAGTTCATTCAGTCTAGGATCAAGTAGGACTTTATTTGATTGTAATGTAGGCTGCGGGACGGGTATGATACATTTAGATATAAGAGTTACTACACCTCCCTAAGCACTTTAATACATATGCTTTAACATTCAAACTCCATACTTATGTCAAACCAAACTCCACCTTCACATCAATGTATATTACCCCACACTTCTTTAAGCACAATTACATCAAGAGTCACCACTTATCAAGGAATACTTTTTTTTTCACAGCAATACAACTATTTTTTTTTTTCAATTCAAGTGGATCTTGCTTGTTCAAAATAGTGCACCTTTCTCCTTATTTCATTAGTTCCACTCAAAAGCCAAACTAGTCACCCCACACTTTAACTTTTACATAGTTCATAAACAATTCAAGTGTTCATGAGAGGTTACAATGGTTCAAATAGATGGTTAATTCAAACAAATGAGTAAGGCTTGTAATGTGGTTGCCAAAGAAACAAGATTAAAGGCTCAAAGGGGTTAATTACGATACATAACAATTAGGCGGGTAAAATATACATATTTGGATCAACAAAGAAACGCTTATATCACTTCCAAGACTGAACAAAATTACTATTTCGCTTTGCAAATACACAGAGCAAGTTCTAGGCATCAAATGCAATGCACAGAATAACACCCAAACCTCACACACACATGGCACATAACTCACTCAGGATTGGTTTTATCAAGACACTCTAGTCAAAGCAGTTAAGCAAAGTTAAGATCATACAATTTAAGGTACTTATACAAGAGTCAAAAATTGAGCCTAAGCGCCACAACCAGAGTAATTACTATTCTCAAAGAATAACAAAGTCAAGAAATATTGCTTCATTTCAAAACACAA